ACACCATACTGGATGGATTGATGTTGAGTATAAGTGTGACTATAATGTCAGTTTATCTGTTTGAAATGAATGTTTAAAAATAATGTATACTGATTACCACCAAATTACCTGATTGTCACGTTGTTTGTAAAGATTACCCACTTGAAACAATTCAAAATAAGAAACATAGAATGTTTCCATCAATATTGTTTTCATACTCAAAAAACGTGTCTAATTGCGATATGGTATTGATGTCATACTCTCTGTAACGTTAAATATATTGCTGTTTGCAATGGTATGCGGTCAGTGCGCCACTCACAAACCACCTGTCCTGCTCAAAACAAAACAACCTTTAAATTTAGAGTTGTAATTATTTTCCTCGTAGACGTCCAGGCCCGGTCTCAATGAAAAATGTCAATGATAACTTTAAATTGATAATTTGGAAGCCTCAATCAACTTTCGAAAATTCCAAAGAATTAACTATACAAATTTTATTGACACCTGACATAATTCTTGGTCACGAAAAGAAAAATCTGACATGAAAGCCCTATCTGGGTCGCACAATGGATTCGAATAAACACACAATTAATTATTAAGAACGACAAACATTTATTCCAAAGCACATGAAAGAAATTAAACCAAATCGCAGAAAGAGAGAAAAGCTGCAAAGGAATAAAATGCCAATGCTCCGCTCTGCTGATATTAATTTTACCCAATTTATTTACTAGGTTTCATTGCGGATAAATGCACCAACGTGTCTGTAAATTTCCTACCGTATGCCGCACATTTTAAATATCGCTCAAGGCGCTGTCCAGAGACGTCACTCAACTTTCTTGCTTTTAACCAGACGTACATTTGGCGATCCGTAAACACTTCTTTGTTTATGACAATGAATTTTTGTCAATTTATTCAATCCCGTTTTTATTTGAAAAGCGGTTCTACGATGTGAAAACGTTCCTTCACGTATATTTTACCAACCGTAAAAAAATGCTTGGTACGATTCAGGAGGCTTACAAGTTGTTCTTCGCACCGAAATTTACTGTAATTTGTTTATTCGCACACATAAAATTGCCGGTAACTCGCAATTTGTCCCAAATCCAAATTTGTTTAAATGTTTCTCCACGTCGTACACCTCGCATAGGCGAGGATATTTCTCAATACGTGGTATATGTACGTGGTCGCTCCTCAATTTAGTACAGGCACGCGCTCTTAAGTTCACTAAGACCGCTCACGAAAACTAGCCTAGAATTAAAATGTACGTTTCGACTCACGAAATCAAGCTTAGAACGAAAATAAAATTCTCACACACAAATAATACGTGCTAGCTCTTTGAAAGTCTACCGTCTTCTGCCGAAAACCCCCTTTATACGACCTAGTAAACGTTTTATATCGAAAATGCACTTGTTATCGCTTTCTATTTCCAGACATACTTTTGTTCACGTTCGCTATGAAGCGGTATATGCGTGAAATTTCCTATGTTGAAAAAAGTACAAATTCAAAACCAAATTTTTGAAAACCGCTATGGGACCACCGGTTACATTTAAGTTACTCAGTACTGCAATGATTTCAACTCTAGTTGGTTTCAATATCTATAATATTGATAAAAACCAAGTTTTTTGGGTCAACTCATTAAGACACTAAAACCAGTAGTACAACTTCCTAAATACCTTGTCACCGTAGTAGGCATTTCTTAAAATTGCAAAAAATATCAATATACGCATACGTTCTTAAAGATAACCCACCAATACTTTATGCAATTAAAAAAAAGTAAAGTGTGTTACAGATATCGCCGAGAACGGTGTTTTATTTAAGTTACAAATGGTACGGCCCTCCCTTCAAAAGGGCCCCCTCCAAGAAAAATCGGAAACTAGATCGCGTTTAGGGTGAACCGTTTTGTTACTGGTTCTCAATTGTTTCTCACTGTATGGAATGGACATTTTTAGGATAATGAAGCTTAACCGCGTTCAAAACACATTAAATTTTCGCAGAAATCATTCGAAATTGTTTAACTACGACCGAGGTTTGTTTATAGTACGACTTTTTCGAAAACGGGTCACCGAACGTACGGATAATTCGCTTCTCCTGTGTAACCCTATATGGTCGCAATTTAAAAGTAGCTTTTTATTGTAACGGCAAAATTAATATGAATTGTATTGTTAACAGTTGAGTAAATGTACGCGCTTTACTAAAGCGAATGGTCTTTATCGGAATATACACCTGCGTTACGTATTTTACTTCCGACTATTCGCACAATTTTATTCACGGTTTAAAAATATGACCCTACTCCAATTCAGACCCACAAACTATTTACCTTTTTTCCACGATTTACAAAACTTTGCACGGAAGCTTCCACTATTAGTTGATTGTGGCGATCCTTTTAAAATCGCGCGATTTAACTTGGAGATTGAACTGGAACTCTCTAGTTTCCCTCTCTCATATTTTATAAGTAAGTGCCCAAGTGCAAAGAGGAAATGAAACTAAAGTACCTACTATTAATTCTCTGTCATCTCTTCCTCAAACGATTCTATGCAACCTTGCAGATAGTCCGGGGCTGCCGTAATTGCAACAACAGCGCACGCTTTTCTAAATCCTTGTAATTTATCGTTTGCTATCGCTATACCAAGAAGCGGTACATATGTAAGTTTTCCTATGCTACGGAAAAGAAAGGGAAAACCCATTGCTTGTTTTACACATAGATTTGCTAGGGAATGTGCTTATTAAGGTATTCACTACGAAAACCATGCCCAATCATGACCCCGCGATCTTTTTCAGCGTTTTGCTCCTAAACTGTAACTTCTACGAAAAAATGTTGTAGAACCTTTTATATTCTCCATTAAATTCTCTATAAAAATGGTTGTTACTATTTTTTGCATATCTCGCACCCAACGTTCGTAAATGACCTTGTAAAATAAGCAGTTTTCAGCATGAAGAGAAAAATGCGCCCAGCGCCGATTGGGGGTGGTTTTTTGGGAAAAAGGGGATGAATCAATCCGGAAAGGTGGGAACTCTTCGGATTTGTATTTGGGTCCTTACTGAGAGTTCATAACCAAATTTTTAAAACTTTGTAAATTTTTTCTCCTATTCCTTGTGTTTCGAACTAACTTGCTACGACAGGTCTAAAAGACGGAAAATATGAGAAACTTTGTTACCGATGAAGGATAAAATATAGCTCGGTGTAGTGTAGAACGGACGTCAAGGGTAACATTTTAGAATCCCAAGGGGAATATCAGAGGAAATGACCAAATGATAAGTAGAAATTAAAGATCCATGTATACTGTATAGGTCAGATAGGGTGGCAATGCTGTTGTTGCTATACAAATTATTTCAGCTTTTTTACTATTACATCATTACTTTCGGTTTGATGGGCTATCGAATTGCACATCTAGTGTTGCAGATGAGTCCCATGATATATGATCGTGTATAATCAATCTTAGTCTGAGAGGTTATCTCTATGTTGCATGCTCGCCCGGTTAACTGATTTATTTATTTATTTATTTATTTATTTATTTATTTATTTATTTATTTATTTATTTATTTATTTATTTATTTATTTATTTATTTATTTATTTATATATTTATTTATTTATTTATTTATTTATTTATTTATTTATTTATTTATTTATTTATTTATTTATTTATTTATTTATTTATTTATTTATTTATTTATTTAAGTAGGTGCGGTTTTAAATCAGGCTTTGCAAATTCACTTGAATCGTTGAAATTTTGAACAAATCAAAACCAAATGTGCTCGTGCACTACAACAAACTTTTTAGAACCAAGGGCTGTAAACAACGTTTTCTCATTGCGATATCACAAAGTCACTGTAATCTAATTAAAACGTGCCCTCGCTGCTCTATGATCCTGGTGATTGAAAAAATATGCGCCATACGGAAGGAATGCCGCGCAGTGGAAAACAGTTTTACGTTGAAAAACAACTCAAAAATAACAACATTAACTTGCTACATGATAATGTTGTTGATGGTTACTGCATATGAAAAATTCCCGAAAGGTTTGGGAATATTATGATTTAAAGCGTATAAATAAAGTAACCTTGAATTATTAATAACAAATTATTAACAATTGATGCATTAGATGAATCACGAGATATTAAAATATTTTTGCACCTCCGTCTGAGAATTAAGTAGTTCATGTATTATTATTACAGACAATAACATTCAAACTTGGAAAATGTAAATTTACATAATTTATTATTGAACCAGATAAGAAAAGTTAACTTTCAATTATTTTGAAGGCCTTTCTATTTTGTCTTGAATAAATATTTTTATCCAGAAATTATAACGCCACCAGCACGTCCAATATTTAGTTATGTAATAAAATATTTACTCTTACATTTACTAACAAGGGTGCAATTTTCTCCCTTATGATCGGTCGGTATTCACACGAAACCCCCGCTTGAAGACCTCCTTCTAATCATTTCCTTATTCTTTAAGTAGCGGTTGACTTAAAAAAAGTTCGACAAGTACATATTAATGTGAAGTACACGAGCTCATAGTTTGATTTTGTTATGTATTGCTGATAAGTGGTTAAGTAGTGGTCAACGAGTAAGGAAAGATGAGCAGTCCCCGGGCATCACTTGCCTTGCATGTGCAGCCGTGGAGCGCTTGCAATGCAATTAATTGGACCGTTTAAATTGACGCGCCCCGGAAAAAATTTCAAATTGCCAAAAGTTTCTGTTCGAACTTCAGTGCCTTAGATTTGGATTATAAAGACATTTTGGTGTGTGCTTTTCTCTGTGCTGCGCTATTCACAGTTTTGTGTTTAATTATTATTTCTCAAATTAACTGCATAGATGTGCTTAAAATTTTGTCGTGTGAGTGTTGTACGTTTCCATGTAAAAAACAAGCATCACTATAGCAGAATTTATCCCGGATTTAATAAAAAACAGGTATTTTATTTTGTTAAAATTTGTGCGCTACAAAAAGCGTACTGTAAGTATTTGTTGCAATTAAAACGACCGCCGGAAGAAATTTTCAAAGTACTAAACCGACATTTTTTTATAGATTCGTATATCGAGATCTCAACACCACTCCTGTCGCCCCCAACGAGATGTGGGTTTCGTCGATCGTGTCCTTATCAGTTATCCTAATTACCTTTACCCATATGTAAGTATTACTTCCGACACCTATATATTTAATTAACGATTTTTCAATTGGTCTATGTTTAAATTGAACTTCTACACCATTACTAGAAATAATAATCCCAAAGGTCCTAGGAAACCAAGTACAACTAATTTTTCATTTTAAATAATTGGGATTGCTATTACCCACAAAGAAATTTATTCGGGATAACGTGTAGAAACCTTAAGTTTGGGCATTGATCAAATTTAGTCCAAAATTTTCGGCGAATTTTATCGTGTGTGACATTTTTTGGGGGATTACTGTTCAATTAGGAAGAGTACTTTTATATTTAGTAACCAACAATAAACTCATCTTAAATTTAGTCCTACAGATAACGACAGATTATTTTGAAATAAACATCTCAAAGTCTACGAACAATACCCAATTTTTATTAAATCACCATCAATTAAACAAACACCTAGTTTTCTGGGTATATTAAAAAACCTCGACGATAACCTTCTTGACAGTTAACGAACTATTAATTGTTTATGCATTTAAATAAACAATATTGTTTCTAAATGCGTAAACTTTTGCCTCGATATTTAATTTCCGGACACGAATTAATTAATTGTTATTCTTCCAGGACTGACGCAAGGTGGGTTTGTAATCCATGTGCAACTGAAGATGAATGCGAAAGGGAGCCTATTGAATTTTGTATGTGGGGTGAGGCGCGAGATAGTTGCAACAGGCGAGTCTGTGCAAAGGTGGGTTTTCTCAAAAATCGTCTTCCAGCATTATTATCGGAATTTTACAGGGTCCAGGGGAAAGGTGCGGCGGTCCATTAGGCATCTTAGGACAATGCGGTGATGGAATGATGTGCAAAAAGGACGAGAGATGCCACGGGTGCTCAACTCAAACATTCCAGTGCCATCCGTAGTTTCGGTGATTGCCGACGATCTCAGTTACTTTCGAAAATCAGTATTATGTAGCTATATTTTAATTTTTTAAAAAAAGCTGCACTTTTTATGGTCATTACCAGGCATGGACGCATATTATGTTGCGTCTTCTTGTGATCCTTAGATTATTGGTTTATGTGTTCAATTAGGTACAGTATACCTGATTTTATTAGATTATAACTATTTATTGCTTGTCTGGAGTTGTAAAGGAGATCTCAAAAAAGTATGGAAAAATATAAACCACGGATAAATTATTTGTACCTATATCCTTTATTCGACCTGGGACTTAATCTTATATATTCTACATGGAGAACAAGATTTTAGTGCATCCATGAAATAGTAGTACCCTAGCAAAAAAAAGTTTGATTCTACCACAGCTATTTAAATACGAGCGGCAAGGTAGTAGAAGATAGATCCTTTCCTAGGCAGTTTCTGTAGGTAAATATGATGTATGCCGTATGCGATGAGAGCAGCCATATCAAAAACAAACACGTACCTACCGCACAAAAAAAAATTGATTGCGCAATAGACGCAACTGATTCACAACCAGCCCCTGATGACTATACCCACTTGCAGACGTGTTGCACATTGACTCCCTCAGTACTGCGCGAACGCAAGGGCGCTTAAATTTGAATTTGCTTTAACGCGCTCACATTAATAAAGCCTTCAGTCATCACTGTGAATTCCAGTTACATTATAGCCCAAACTTGAAAGCAACCGACATGTTAAGGCGCAGATAGACTAGCAAGTTACTTGCGACAGCCGACAATCTCACGGTAGAAACTTCCACATGCATTTAGACTGTGAGCAATAAGTGTCGCGATGAACTGTCGGGCAAGTTGGGTGAGCCATTGCTGTCGAAAGTTCGCACAAAACTGTTTACACTAGCAGCACTTTTAGCTTCCGCAAATGTTGTCAGTTGATACCATGGTTGATACCTAACAGCTGTTTTCGAAAACCTATCTCACGTTATGGCGCCAATAGGACATCTTCGTGTTGCTGCTGCTGTAGTTTTATGCAATAATGTGAAACACAAAAGAAGTGTTGGGTGAGAGAATGAATTTCAAGAAGAGAAAAGTATGGGACCCTACCACAAATTAATTGATGAGCTGAGAATCGGAGAATCAATCCCAACAATTTATAAATGTTGTTCGTATGTCAGCGGTAGACCTTGAGGAACTGTTATTACAAAATTAAAAAGCAGGATACTCATTTACGTGCCACAATATAATAAAACTCGCACGTTTACTCGCCAAAATATCGAAACGAAATGGTACGTTTGCGTGAACTTGGTGAGCTGCACTTTTGCCTGTTTAGACTGGCAAGAAAAGTGTCGCAAGAATTCTTCCGCGAGTTTTGTCAAATAGACTCGCATACCCTTAAGACAGTAGTGTCCGACAGTAAATCGCGCGAGTTTTCTTTCTAGTCTAAAGGCGCCTTTAGCCTTCTCCCATTCTATGCCTTGATCTTGAAGTATTATTGCTACTTATAACATATCCGATGTTGTCTTTATGCTTCCACCGGTGTTCCATATGTGTTTCGCAAGCCAACTGTTTTCCATTCGTCCAAGCGTTTTAATTTTTGTCTATCAAAGGTCTCTATCAGAGCATCCACTTCTTTTTTATCTTCTTACTAGAAATTCCACCAACTCCCCTAACCCTCCTTCGCAAGTACTTCATTTCTGTAGCTTGCAGTCTGGTTTTTTGTGATTCGTTCAGCACCCAACTCTCTCTCTCTCTCTCTCTCTCTCTCTCTCTCTCTCTCTCTCTCTCTCTCTCAGATTTCATTAACTATTTCTAATTAACTGTTACAGTACTTCCCGAAATAGTTTCTTTCTATCGCCTTTGGCATACTCTAGGAATTCCTCGAGGAATTCATAGCCATGTACTTAAAATGTAGATAACAACAAACAAACAACAACATACCTCGAATTTAAGACTAAACAATGGAAAAGCATCTTTGAAAGTACTTTTTGCAACAAAACAGAATTCCATTTTTAGCGCATTTTTTAAGAATTAAACAAGTATAAATTGCCGAAATAGCTTTTGTTTTTCCATCACCAATGGATATATTTCTTGCAGACTTTCAATCGCCCTTGGTGAATACACTCTTCCGACAATCCGTTCTTGAGGTGTAAGGGGATATACCCGATCGCGATAAGAGGTTGAAGAGGAGGGATATGGTTGGTAGAAATTAATTTCTTTCGTTGAGACCTTTCATTAGAGTACCATGAAGGATAAAACTTATTCCAGCCCCCCCCCTCCCCCTCCATCCCGTACTTTGATAAGAGGACACAAAAAAGTACAATAGTACCTACAATAGAAAACGGTTCCTTTCGTTGAGACCTTTCATTAGAATACAATGAGAGATAAAATTAATTTTTAACCCCCCCTCCTCAGCCCCCGTCGCTCACTGATCTCGAAAAAGAGTCGCACGGGAAAGTTATAGTTTGTACAAACCAATTTATTTCGATGAGACCTTTCATTAGAATATCATGAAGGGTAAAATGCGTATGCAAAATCTGAGACCAATTGATTGTCGTATGTAAAAGTTAATGCACGTTTTACTTTCAAAAACAGCATCTCAGGAAATAATTCGTGGGGGGGGGGGGGCTTTTCGACAGCGAAATTTGATGGCCGTCTGGAACACCTTCAAGGTATAGGCTACCTACTGCAAAAAATTCCAGGATTCTAGGACCATTCCCCTAGAAGTACTTCGAAACGGCAGAAGTGGGTCCGGACGGACGGACGAACAAAACGCAAACAATAGCACATTTTTTTAATTCTTAAAAATCTGTCATTGTGTATATTTGGCAACGCACCCGAACGCTTGCTTTACAAAAAAAACGAATATCCATTCCTTAAGAATCACATAAATCAATTAGGCACGCTTGCTAGAAACGTAAATTCTTTGCCTTTTATTGCTTTAATCGAATACCGAATTCTGTAATCATGGCCCAAGTTATAAATTATAATTCATGGCGTTAAAATCGTCAACGCCGATACCGCTTTTTTTTGCGGCATCTGCTGTGTATCTTGCCAATATAGGGCAGTTAAGATTAGAATTTTGACAAAGCAAGCATTCATCAACACCAGATGAACTACTCGAAGAAGCCATGTTTTAAAATTGAACCGAACTGAGCCGTTTGTTCCCTAGCCAAAAGGACAATTTGTCGCACCGAGCTGCTTACGTAAAATTTGAACCTAAAATCGACGAGCTGCGCGGAGCAACTACGCGTTTCTTATGTGAGAATTGGTCATTACCAACTTTTTCGTGTAATGGCAACAGTAATGATCACCGAATAGGTAAACCTTTCAACATAGGTAACCAACGTTTCAATATCATATTGTGTCTTGGAAATGCGAACCAACACGCCACCCTCGTTCACCGTCACGTTCCCCACACGTTAAAAATCCTACAGATTTTCCTAGTCCTCTTAAGGAGCCATCCTTCTGTTTAACAATTACGATATTATTAACCCAACCAGAGGATTTATTTTTTTATTTTCTAAGGTTATCAAGGTTTCCCACAATTTGTCGCGACTAGCAAACGATACCTTTCTAGGTATGACTTCATTATTTATTTGGATTTCACAATATTATCCCTAAACTTACTCAAACCTTAAAATAATTCTAGATTATCTTTTACCCTTAGTCATAAGCTTACCCAAGGCATCTACTTTGGGGGCAATAAGGACTTAGTACAAAACTCAAGCCCTAATAACGGAGAAACAATTTTGTTTATAAGTATGAAGTTGTCAGTAAATTCAACGTTGTTACACTGACCTTTGAGCGGAACAATGCTTAGAGATTTTAAACACTACCACCAAATGCCTTTAAAATTATATTTGTATTCTGTAACTGAGACTCTGGAACACCTTTTTCACTTAACTTTTTAGGTGACAGCGCATCCACATCTTCATCAGTGTCTAGATTAAATTTCATAGGCACATGATGATCACCAACATTTCCATTTTGAAACCATGACTTAATTGACAAAACCTTTGTATTCTGATTTTTTACCCCAATGCTGTTGATAGCGAACTCCAACTCATCAGGTTGCTCATCCTGTTCTTGTAGCACCTTCACATTTTTACGTAGCACGAAATTGCAAAATGACTGGACTGTCCACATTTATTGCAGTTTTTCCCAAAAGCAGGACATTCACGAAATCCATGAACAGTCTGGCAACTTCTACATTGAAACTTTTCACCAGGTTGCCGCTCTTTTTTACACCACTTGTTTGTTGGTGACTCAACTTCGGCTGTAACCCCTTGCAAATTTCTAGCCTGATGAGATTTTAAAATTTCAACAGCTCGGCATAGATTCACGGCCTTCAACAAATCAAGATCCTCCACCCGTAACACTCTTTCCCGTATGATCGTGTCATAGACCCCTGTCCGGAATCATCTATCACTGAATAATCCAAATTCACAGGACTTCGATAACTTCTTGATATCAGTTAAGAACTAATCAAACCCTTCTCCTTCTTGCCGCACTCGACTATAAAACTCCCAAACACGATATTTTTCTTAGGACTAGAAAATGGTCATCGAATAGAAATCACACCCTGTCGGTTTCGGACAAAGTAAATGTGTTGTATATTTCCACAGCATCTTCACCGATTATATTTAATAGAATGACTACTTTTGTTTCATCGTCCTTTGCTGACTTATCGGAAGCTTTCAGGTAAATTTCAAAATTAAGTCTAAATTTAAAAAAAGATTTAAATTTACTGGATGTTTGAATTCCGTTTAGGCTTTTCTTCTTATAATTATATTAATCTCTTTAACAATACACTTATCTGCTGTGTCGGAATCTTGAAAACTTTGTTCTGCTTACTAAACTAACTGCCTTGACTGCGCCATGTTGTATCTTCTTGTGAATAATTGGAAGAAATATTTAGAACACTTAACACATAAACATTTTACGTCATGATTGACGATGCCAATTTCAAAATCTCAGCCGAATTTGAATTCTAAGCCTAGATGATATCAGCAAGAACAAAGAGAAGTGAAATATTACACTTTCAGCAATGGTGCAACTTACAAGAGACTATTTACCCCAGGCAAGATGGAAACCTCCCCAATAGTTCATTTGTGGTTACATTTCTATAGATAAAATTCTAAATAAAATGTATAGAACATTTATTTGAGAAACCTAGTGATCGCTGATGATGTTTCTGGTATCCCTGTTTTCTGTACTATTACAAATACACGTGTAAACAAATATAGCAAACGAGCTACAGCAATTTTGAACCTGGTGTTCGATTTGCTTTTTTATTCCAACTGCCTATGTATCAAATTTCATTTAAATACCTTCACAAATAAAAAAAGTTTTCAATTTGGTTCGTAAATGGTCGAGATGCGGAAAGGGCACTGTGAATGTTGAATCGATTAGACTCAACTTTTGGAATTGCGTATTATATGGCTCGAGCTATGCCCATATTGAATTTCATGCAATTCGGTTCATAGCTAACCCGCTAATAAAGCTGTCAAAAGAACCTTCCTTACTTTTTGACCTACATAGCAAACTTCGATTTACAAATTTGATAAAGACTCCATCTGAAAAATTTTATCGTAATCGAGATATCGTGCTAACGGACAGACACGGCACCGCTAGGAGCTCGTTAATAAAAGAACGTGGTTAGTGAAAATCTTTATAGATCTTAAAAACCTACACAACTAAGAACATAAGAACTCAAATGTAGCGATTGATTCATCTCTTATTTGGGAAAGACATCCACTCATTATTTATAAGAACTAGCGTTCTAAAAAATTAGTTACAGTATGAAAACTTCCAAATTAATTAATACATTAATAATGAAATCGAGGTTACAATTCGTTGCGAACCATTTCTTTTAACTTTAACCGACGGACTTTCCCAGATGGAGTCATTGGAAAATTATTAACAAATTTTACACCCGCTCTTAGATGAAAAGGGTCATCCAACCGGTCTTCGACATACTTTTGAATTTCCTCGCCAGTTACATTTGGAAGACCAGGTTTTAATACTACTAACGCCATAGCATGGTGATTGTCGATATAATGTGGTATTCCTATTACTACAGATTTTAACACTGCAGGATGGGTGTTTAACATTTTCTATCGAAGCTGGAGTAATGTGTTTGCCTCGATACGCGAACATTTCTTTCAGACGATCAATCACGTAAAAGCAATAATCTTCGTCATAGTAGCCATAATCGCCAGTTTTTAACCAACCGTCAGAATCCCAAATGCCACTTGAATCTAAATTATAATAGCCTCTAAGTTGCATTTGGGTTTTTACTCGAATTTCTCCTTTTTGCTTGGGTCCAAGTACTTTATCCTCGACTTTATCTGTATCTGGATCTACCACCTACAGTAAACATTAATATAAGAATATTTTAGAGCACGAACTCACCTTGTAATAAGTTCCTCGCGATGGTAATCTACACGATCCCCTTTTGGTGTGTAAAAAGTGCACGTGTTTTGGTTTGGCAAGGTCAAAATATGTAAGAGGGGAAAAAACCTCACTCTGCCCATACATTTGGGAAACAAGCACGTTCGGAAAGGTCTCCCTTATCTCCTGTAACTGTTCTTCGGATATTGTGGTACCGGTCACCAATATACTCTTCAAGCTTTTCAAATCTACATTCTTCGGCTTTGGTGTACGACATAATGTTAACGTACTAGTTATATCAAGTATAACTCGAGTTGCCTAAAGAAGGAAACTCTTAAAGTAATTAATTCGCAGGATCTAAATATCGCCGGATTACCATGTAACTGAACATATCCCAAGGATTGTTAGTACCGAATGGAGGGACCAGTAATCTTACACTCTTATTATAAATGGACTGGTGCAAGTAAATTGCCTCACGCGATCTAAGAACACACGCGATCTAAGACATGTTCAACGCTACAATATACCAGCTCATGTAAGCCAAAAATTTGAAAGTTCATTTGAATACATAGCATCAAAAATACTGAATACTAATATGATTGATTTTACAACGTCCAATAACATTAATTCATTTAGGAGAACTATGAAGAAGAAGCTGTTATGTTTGCAGTCACAACAAATGTCTGTATAAGAAATATTTATTTATTTTTAGGAACATTGTATAATTATAGCACTCTAATTAATTTACACTTTTTCGACCTCTTAGGGCGAGATTGCAAACCGGCTTGCCGATATCTTGTCCCTTTTAAATAGAATATTGTATTTTAGTGATTATTTTAGTTTGGAAGCTCTCTTTTTTGTTTTTTTGTTTTATATTCTATTTAATAAATCTCTATTATTATTATTATTATTAAAAATTCCAAACACATTCCAATAAGGGGGGAAGTTACTATATATTAGCTCATTTCGAAGGTCTTGGCCTCTAAAAAGATACGATATACTCACCAGCGGATATTAATACCTACCTTATAGGCTCGGCTGTTTTCAAAATGGAATAGTGAGTGTGACAAATTCCCTTTGGTAGCCCCGTCGTTCCGCTGCTGAACAAAATTAAGGCAATCTCTTTCAGGTCGTGCGCTTCCACAGGTTTGAACGATGATTCGTTGTGTTTGGGTTGAATTAGATCACTGAATGGTACGTGGGTATCAGTAGGCCCGAAAACTACCATTGTAGTACTGGCGCCGACTTCTTTTATAACATTCTCTATAAGAGTCACCGACTCATGTCCCACGAATATCACCTTTGGCATTACTTGGCGGAAGAGGTGAACTGATTCGGCAAGTGAAAAACTTGGATCTAAAGCCGCTACTTTTGCCCCAGTAAAATACGCTGATATGTGAGGGACGCAACTGTTTAAGTGACCTTTACTGCATAACGATACCACGTCGCCATATTGCAATCCAATTTCTGTCAACCACATGGACGTTCGTACGCATTTCTTCAGAAGCGAACCAAATGTATCTTTTTCTTTAGTCAGTCCATCAATTTGCGCTAAAAGATCTTTATTTTTCAGCATTTCATCAAAATATGCACACCCGAGCCCTCTAGAGTCGGGTTCGCCATCAAGATCTTCAGTATATATGATATTGTTCTCGTAAAGAATTTCTTCTGAAAATATTATGTTAATTACCAAGCAAATAATGAGGTTTATTACCTTGCAAGTTCTCCATTTCCACAACAGTTTGAGTCTAAGCGTAACGAATTTAGAGGAACCTATTTTATACTATACACACTTATCTTTAGTACTTTGAACTTACTACCGAATTACCTAATAGCATTCGAAGCTTCCTTCACTGTAAGCAAAGATCATACTACACTAGATAGCCAAGCCAGCGTATATGCAAGAGTTGTTTCGCGTTTAAGTAGTTCCATAAAAATATTTATAGGGGGCTTTCAAAGTTAAGAACGTAACTGATTCATCCGAAGCCGTCTTCGTACGAGTTCGAATCATATCATAAATACAAAGAGTGATTATTGTCTAAACACGAGACACATAAACATGACCTACTGAACACTCCTCACTATCATTGGGATAAAATTACATTTGTACGTGGGCGTCATTCAAGACAAGGTAGATTCTATTACAGACAGGACGTTACAATGAAAAAAATAATTTGAAAGGTTGTACACAATATTCCTTTTGCTTTTTTTTAACCAGCGCTAACCAATACATTTTCCAGATTTTCGGATTAAATTAATAATTGCAAAAGCGTCTTTTTTTAGCGCATTTTTGCAAAAAATTTTTTTTGTAAAAAGTAGCTTTTAATCTCACTTTGGCTGGCTGGCTGGCTGGCTGACAGCAAATGTGGGCACGTAGAAGAACTCTTGTAGAAAGGCAACGGATGTACCTACGTGTATCTACAAGGCCGTGTAATTTGTCAACCTTAGGGACAGGGCTACATGATGTGGGGTTGGCGACATCTGGGCGTCATCCTCGAGCGTAGTTTACTAACGTGAAGGTTTTTCAGTTTTTTCCTATCTTCTACTACAGTTTTGGTCCGATTCTTTTCAAATTGGTGTCGTCGGAAAGATGTAAACGCGCACAACTCCTGCGTGGCGGAATTTTGTTTTTTGTCCTAGGGGCGAAATTAACGACCTTTTGCAAGGCGCGCGCGCGTCTTCGAGAGGTAGTCTACTTCGGGCGCCTTTTACGTTCCGTTGCGAATTTTGTCACGCGGTTTAACGTTTCGTAAATCTCGAATCGCTGTCTCTCTTTCTCGTGTCGCCAATAGAAGCTCGAGTAATGAGAAGTGCCCCAAAAATTAAGTACTATCTTGTGGAAGGTTTTTAGCGAAATCCGCCAAAATGTAGGTGTAATATAAGTATACACAAAAAGGAAATGTGGTACCCTCCGACAAGATCTAACTGATGGTGGAGTGAAAACTTCAAACGCGAATTTGGGGTGAACGGGGCGTCGGAAGTGGTTACCGTCAAAAGGAATGTGGTAGCCCTCGACACGATCTTCCTGATGGTGGAGTCAAAACTTTAAACGCGAATTGCGGGTGCACGCGGAAAGTGGGAAGCGGGTACCGACAAAGTGAATGCAGTAGCCTTCGACAAGATCTTTTATTGATGGTTGAGTCAAAAGTGGCTAATAGAATACTGATCTGCCACACAAAAATGCGTCATAATTTAAAGTATGGTTAACATCATTAATTCGTTAAGATTCCGTATCTGGTAGCAAATTATAAGTGGTTAGTCTTTCGCAGTGACATTTCCAATTTATGTTTGTCATATATGTAAAGGACGGGAATTTATCTTTATATCAGCTAAACGACAATATCTACCTATATATGTATTACAAATGAGTGTTTATTTTTGATTTTCCTTAAACAATTTGCACTTTGATTTGATTACTACGTCGAACTTTAGATACTAGTCAATTGAAACTTTAACAAATAATTTAAGTAGTATGCATAAATGATTTGGATAAGTTTTGGTGATCATTACACTTAATTTAATATCGTAATTACTACTAAGTAGTAATAAAAGTAAAAAAGCGCCGTTGATGACGTACACTATTTTATCTATACATTATTTTATTTTAAATTATCACACCTCTACGGTATAGACTAAACGTTTATCTTTACCCTTATCTTTATCATTATGCCAAGTGTATGAGTTATAAGCAAAGATCCTGCACATGTCTTCAATTTGCGAGCCATTTTTACAAAAGTAAGTCCCCTAACCCTTATTTTACGATTAGGTTGGTTGAGCGATTGGAATGAATAACAGAAAATGCACAACCACGTATTTAACCTATTTAATTTTTAGCAGGACGTAGTAGTAATCACCCAAGTATTATTAGATGAAGAAACTACCATTTCCTTTTTTGACGATTATCATAGTGGTGGGAATAGTATATTACGTCGGCCTTTCGCAATCCTCTAAGGAGTCTAAGGCCTCCAAGATTTCACATCTTGCATGTTACGTCGCAGGCGGAAACAGATTGCTCGACCTATTCGAAATCCAAACGCCACCAGATGATTCGATATATTTCATCGACACGTCGTGGAAATGGATTACGGAAAACGCAGTTACGATCAATCCAAGACAGGCATGCGCCGTGGAATCCGCTGCCCGGAGCAACCCCAGCCATCAAACCTACCTAATGTACATGTCACTTGGATTAATTGAAAACGAAACCACACTATCTGGGAAGCTTTTACATACACTAATCAAAATAAAAAATGTCAACCTGTTGTGGTTAAATTTTCCACGTCTGCTCAAGGGCACAATTGTTGAAGAATTGTACACGAGTGGCAAGATCCAGTCTTCAAAGTTTCCCGTTAACACCGCTAGCAACATCGCTAGACTTTTGCTTCTGTTGAAGTTTGGCGGAATCTACCTTGATCTAGATTTTGTGATAATAAAGTCATTTGGTGACTTGGCTTCCAATTTTGCGGTTGCAGAATCCGGGAGCGCCGTTAACAATGCAGTCTTAAGAAGCACCCTTAACGGCAGTGGGAAAGAGTTTATTAGGGGATGCTTGGAAGAATTGCAAAATCATTTTGTTGGTAACGCGTGGGGGAAGAATGGACCCGTCATAGTTACCAAGTGAGTTTGTCTTTGCTATTTTCAAAATACTATAAACAATTTTAGGGTTTTGAAGGAAATGTGCAACGTGAAAAAGATTAAAGAAATGTACCACAAGAATTGCTCCGGAATCACCGTTTACCCACCTGACTACTTTTACCCAATTTCTTATAAAAATTGGAAGTTTTATTTTGATAACGGTCACGAAAAGGATTTACACTACGTGTTAGAAAAAAGTCATGGAATACATCTGTGGAATAAGTTCAGTAAAGACGCACGTTCTCATTCTGATGAATCGATTTACAGAGTTATTGCTAAAAAGTATTGTCCACAAGTGTATTCCATAGCGAGCGAATACTTTTGAAGCATTGCAAATTGTATTTTTCTCATAATGTCTAAAGCTACAGTCAATGATCACGCAATAATAAATGGAATAAATTATTATTATTATTATGGTCAGTGTTTCTTGTCAGAACTCAGGTCTAGCCTGGTTAATTAATCGCACGGATTAAAATCAAGCACCTAACGATTAGTGTTTGTCTGTACTTCATTCGTCTAGTCAAGTCTTGTCGAATCCTAAATTCTATAATTAAAAAATAATAATAAACTTAAATAAAATAGTAGTAATAATTAACAAAAATATTGAAAAAAAAAATAAAATAAAAACACACCTTTCCTACAAGTTTAGCAATTTAAATTAAGTGGCGTTGTTTATTGTGTAAGTGTTTGGCTTTGCGTTTGGGTTGAATACGAGTGAGTTGTGATAACGTGGTGTGTTTCTGAAAAGAAAGAGTATTATTATTATTATTATTATTATTATAATGACACTTCACTTTCAAACTTTACACTATTTTCTACCGCTTCGACGGCCGCACTTTTCTCGCCGATTTTCTGACTTCACCTAACAGTCACTAAAAGACGGCACCGTTTTCGAGGAAACTATGTGACCATTAACCAGTAATAATACACAGGGTGTACAGTATGTAAAAGATTCACTAACAATATAAAGAATGACCGACCATAAGAGTTAGAAGGACTAGTGGCACATCTTTGAATAGGTTTTCGAGTATGCTCTTTCCGATTTGGGAAAATTTTTTCAAAATTTCTCCCACAAAAGGGCGCACCCTTAAATGGGGAGTGCGAAACAAATTTAGATTTCAACGAAATGTGGTACTTGGGGGTTTTTGAACATGAAATTAGTTTTTGGAAATTCGAAAAAGCCAGCTTGTTCAAATGTAATTCTGATATTCGTACTCAACACCAGACGTGGTAGGCTTGTAAGATTACCAATTTCTAAAGCTTGTATTCCGATCTTAGTGTCTGTAACTATCTCTCAGTAGTCAGCACTTCCACTTCCTCTTTTTTAAAAATAAAGTTGAAGAATTTGCATCTTTTTTATTTCATAAATCCATTGATGTTTTTAAAAACTGATCGATTAGTGTACAGAATATTTTTACATTTTAGTTTTAAAAGTTTATGGCGTAGGTACACTACTTTATTTTAAACTGTAAACACCTCTACGATATAGAATAAACGTTTATTTTTATTCTTATCTTTATCATAAAGTAAAGAGTAACCCATATTACATACCTATTATTATATTATAAGAAAAGATCCTGCGCATGTGTTACCTTCAGTTCGCGAGCCATTTTTCCTAAAGTAAACCCTGTAAACCTTATTTTACGATTGAGTTAGTTGATCGATTGGAAAAAGTAACAGAAAATGTACGACCCGTAGCTACACGTTAAATTATACAGGTGAAACACGTACACATGATTATAACGGGTGATCAAAAATGAGTTGCTGTCGAGTCGCCTTTGGAAGTTCAAATTAAATAGGATTTTCCATGTAAACAAAAATTCCAGAGGTGATTCGACAGCAACTCATTTTTGATCGCCCGTTAGTTTGTTAAAGTAATTTACAATAACTTTTTTCGATAGCTCAATCGCAACACATCTCGGTTTAGAAGAAAGGAGTAGAGCTCAAACATTATTAGATGGAGAAACTACTACTCCTTTTTTTTACGATTACAGTAATCGGAATGGTTTATTACGTCCACCTTCATCCATCCTCTAAGGAGTCTAAGATTGCATCTCTTGCATGTTACGTCGCAGGCGGCATCAGATTGCCGGATCTATTCGAAATGAAAACGCCACCAGATAATTCGATATACTTCATCGACACGTCGTGCAAATCGTTTACAGAGGGTGCGGTTTCGATCGACCCAAGACAGGCATGCGCCGTCGAATCCGCTGCCCTGAGCAATCCCGACTATCAAACCTACCTATTGTACACTTCGTCTGGGTTCATTGGAGACGAATCCACACTATCCGGGAAACTTTTACATACACTAACCGAAATAAAAAACGTCAAGCTGTTGTGGCTGAATTTTACACGCCTTTTGGAGGGTACAATTGTTGAAGATTTGTACACGAGTGGTAAGATTCAGTCTTCAAAGTTTCCCGTTAACACTGCAAGCAACATCGCTAGCCTTTTGCTTCTGTTGAAATTTGGCGGAATCTACTTAGACCTGGATTTTGTGATAATTAGGCCATTTGATGACTTGGCGTCCAATTTTGCTGTTGCAGAATCTGAGAGCGTTGTTAACAATGCAGTCTTAAGAAGCAACCTTAACGACAGTGGCCAAGAGTTTATTAGGAGCTGCTTGAAAGAATTGCGAGGCAACGCGTGGGGGCAGAATGGACCCGAAATAGTTACCAAGTGAGTTTGTGTCTGCTATTTTCAAAATCTTATAAACGATTTCAGGGTTTTGGAGAAAATGTGCAACGTGACCGAGATTAACGAAATGTACCAGAAGAATTGCTCCGGAGTCACCGTTTACCCACCCGATTACTTCTACCCAATTGATTATAAAAGGTGGAAGTTGTATTTTGATAGCGGCCACAAAAATGATTTATATCACATTTTAGCGAGTCATGGAATACGCGTGTGGAACATGCTCAGTAAAGACGCACGTTCTGATTCTGAGGAATCCATTTACAGAGCTATTGCTAAAGCTTATTGTCCACAAGTGTATTCCATAGCGAGCGAATACTTTTAAACCATTGCAAATCAATATTATGCCTTTTTTTCCCATACCTGTTCTATTTTCTATGAAGGACTGTGCAGTAGTACTCTGTATATCTAGGGACTTTTAGTTGTTCTAATATCTCTACAGTTTCTGCTGCAGCTCCTTCTGATTCTTTAGGAAAGCAAATTTCCTTCCTGTTCCTACTAGCTTATTCAATCACTGAACAATGTTTTATAAACTCAGTTTAAGTTTCGTCTTTAGATGGCATAAGAGTCATCATAAACTAGTACAATTGTATATATATACTTAATATATACAATGCAAGTTAATATAATATTAAATTTTTTTTGAAAACTTGAGACCTTAAATCGAGCGTGTGATTCTTCAATTTATTTGTGGAATGTCACGCTATATTGTCACATTCTACTCTCATTTTATATTCGTACACATGATATTTTCATTCTTGGTCGAAAAAATTGGCATATGAACACTGAAAGGCGTTTATTATTTCCTCACATTAGGTGTTCATCGCTATTTAATAAAAATTGAATATAAACTTAAGTCGGAATCCCTTTCAAAATTTAATGGAAGAAGTTGAATACACGATATACTTTTATAGCGATGGCAGGTTTACATTGAGTGATTACATTTTTCTCCTTTATAAATCTCCTACAAATATTTCCCTTTGGAATAGATTGATTAATCAAAAAAAAAAATTTGTATAAATACTTCCTCCCTTCACATTTCTTTGATGTCGAGATTACAAATCTAAACATTTAAAAATTATTTTAATAATCTCTTCACGCTTAAGAGATCAAAGTATGATGTAATTACGTAATGTGTACGGTATACATTTTCTAATATTAATCAGGTTCATCTTGCCGGTACCTTTAACTTAAGACGGGTCATAAATTGAATTTGCCGTCGAAAGTTTTCGTTGCGTTTCATCTTCGTGAAATATGAGCCATCTCGTTTCCTTAGTCCCTTTCATCCAGAACTCTGAATCACTTTCGGACTAAAGTCAGAAAGCGCACCATAATTCCAAAGGTCACTTGAGGAACGGAAGAACTACATCAGAAACATTTAATGGACACTAATCTAAGTAATAACATACATTTATATTTTATTTCTGATTTATTTGCGGATCGGACCAACTGCCGTGGTTACTAGACTCACTTAAAATTGAACATACACTGTCGATTCTTCCACCCACGCGGGTTTTTATGTTTCCCTCTTTCATAAAACTTTTAAATTACCCCTAAAGAAACATATATATGCCTAAACGAGGCGCGTTTATTATTGGGGTTGTGAATAGGTCCATTGTTAACTATGTACGTACTTCATTTCTGCTACTAACGATGCTTATTTGTACTAGGAGGGCCCAGGTTAGTAATAATTTAAAATCTTTTAACTTCTTACCCTTATTCCCGACGCCTACAAATGATTGGTTAATCAATGATGCCCCAAAAAGTCATCAAAAATCGATCCAACGGAAAACAGAAAGTTTTTCTTGTGATATAATCTCGTTTGAATGGCATCTGTCTGCCAACAAACCACTTAAACTCTTACTTCTATCAAGAAGGATTGGGGAGCCCCTTAGTGACGGGTTCCATTCACCTAAGCGTCCTAAGCTACCGACTTTGTGGTTCAATAGTAGAGCGTTGGGCTATAAAACCGGAGGTCGGGTGTTCGAACCTGGGTTGGGGTAAGAATTTTTCATCTTTGAAAGAGATGGGAATTTCCTTAAACCAGTTTCGGGCATTCTACCGGTTACTTCGAATTAGGTTTTCCTGTAGTTTTCCTAGTTCGTAAGGCAAATACCGGAGTAGCATAGAACGCGCTGTGTGCGGAATATTGTAAATGCTGGCTACAGGGAGGACTGTCACAATATCTTTAAATCGTTGCAAATTCTAACAGCTCCATCACAATACATTTTTGACTCAGTTTTGTTCGTTCATAGAAATAAATCAAATTATATAACGCATAAAAATGTTCATTCTTACAATACTCGGAACAAAAATCAAATATATAATGATAGATTACGATTAAAAACGTCGCAAGCGGCACATAATTATTGGGGCCCTGTGTTGTATAACCGTTTACCTTCTTGTTTCCAATCTCTAAATGAACAACTCTTTTCCAAGAAACTTAAAACTTTTTTACGCGAAAATCCAATATATAACATCCAAGAGTTTTTAGATAACGACCTCAAGACTTTAACGCCTTAAGTTTTTTTTTTGTTGTTCATATTTTTTTTTGTATTTTTTTTTGTTTGTTTGTTTGGTTTAATTGTTTTATTTCTAAATGATTTTTCATGTTATTTAATATTGTTCTATATGTCTCATGTATTTTATGTTTATGTGTTATAAGATTTCGACGGACGAGTGTAAGCATTTTTTTAAATGTATTAACACAATAAATTACTTACTTACTTACATATTAAGACCTGTTGCAGGGGCACCTCTAAAAAGCATTATGTGGTTCACTCTGTAATTGAGTGGACGTTATGGTCACATTCGGCTTAGTGTCCCTTGTACACTTGTCGGCGATGTGGGCACGGTCGGTGTAGTGTCCCTAGTCGGCGATATGGGCCATAAATGGGCATTCGGCGAAGTGTCCCGGTCCCGGCTGAAATGGTACTCTGTCAAAATGTACGTCTGCCCGGAGAATTTTTATCGGTCGGAACTCAACCGCAACGTTACAAATCCGAAATTCTCTAGGAACTACGGCAGCATTTCCAACAAGTACACCCCACACCAGGACGTCATCATGGTGATTGGTGAGAAATGGACATTCATGTTCAAAGACCCGTGTCAGTTTCCAGACCACATGGAAACACACCTGAAGATACGAACGTTTTCAAGCAGGGTTGATAGAAGTTTGACCGCCAATTTGGAAGAGACTCAATGTACTCAAATAAGGCCTTTGACACGGTCGCCCATGGCATACTGTTAAGTAAACTGTATAAATGTGGAGTAAGGGGAGTTGTTTTGAAGTGGTTTTGTGATTATCTCACTCAGAGAACACAGCGTGTTAAAATAAATGGAGTTCTTAGTGATATCGGTATAATCAAATGTGGGGTACCGCAAGGGTCAGTTCTGGGCCCCGTATACATAAACGATCTTTGTAATGCCCGCCTGCAAGGCACAGTTACGTCATTTGCGGATGATACGGCTTTATGTTACACTGCTAATAACTTCCTAGATATAGAGAGGGCCATCAATAGTGATCTCATGGCACTGCAGTGGTGGTTTACGCAGAATAAAATGGTCCAGATGGACTCGTCAATTACAATGTGTGGTAACAATAATAACAAGATAAAATGTACCTATATCGTAAACTATTAAAATCTAACATCACATAAATACAAAGATCAAAGTTATAAGTAGAATACAATACTAGTGACTAGAGCTAAGGAGAAAATGGAGTATTTAAATATTCATCTACAGAATAAAAACAATGACTTAGTATTTACCAATATTGTATTTTGATTTATGACTTTGTTTATTCTATAACTCTGTTAATAATTTTCTTTCGCTTTAGTTATAAATCTATCATTATTATTTTTGTTACATTTTTGTTAATTTTTCTATATTTCTGTGCGGCTTTTATGGAACAATATTTAAGTTTGTCCTGTATTTAGACTAGATAGTCTGTTTGGACAATAAATTATTATTATTTATATGTTTCTTTACACGATTTTTAAAACAATAAAATGTCGAGTCCCTGACATTACTAGGGAGAATATTATAAAGTTTCACTTGATAGTAATGCTTTTTAGACTTGGAAAGTCTGAAGTAAGGGGTTCGCATATCGTTAGCCTTTCTAGTGTTGTATTTATGAGTGCTGCCATTTGTCAGTACCGAGGATTGCTTTTTGTGAATTCTAGAAGTGCACAATAAATGAATATAGATGGAAGAGGCATGATTTGAAATTTACAAAAATACTTTGACCGTGTTCTCTATAATGTTCATTGGCTAACATCTTGACGACTTTCTTTTGCATTGAAAACACTTTTTTTGCTTTAGAGGAATTACCCCATAGGTTAACACCATATATTAAATGAGAGTGAAATAGTGCAAAATAACATGCCTGAAGGGTGGTGGTGTTAATACATTTTTTTAAGTTCCTTAGAACAAACGTGGCCTTTGCTAATTTACTAACTAGGTAGTCAATGTGATTGATCCAATTTAAACGGTCGTCTACACAAATTCCTAGAACTGTAGCGCATTTTCCTGATGTAAACTTAGGGTTAGAAGAAAACGTAATTCCTTGTGTTTTTTCTTTATTTAGTTTTAAATTATGGTGCGCAAACCAATCATGAGCAAGTTGCAACGAGTTATGGCTATTGGTGGTTAGTATCTTGTGGTCTTTATCGGTGACTATTAAAGATGTGTCGTCAGCATAAGCAATGCATTCGTTGGCATGAATAGCATTATGCGGGTCACTCTGTAATTGGGCGCATGCCTGTTGAGGGCCCAAAAACTAAGAGAGGGATAATAAATAAATAAATAAATAAATAAATATAGAAAAATTCCCTGTCTAACAATCTCCTGTCACGGTGTTTGTAGTCGCACTTCTCCGATTGTTATCAAACTGTTGTGTATATTTGGTAGGTATGAGAGTAAGTAGTCATTTTATACCGCTAATAACAATATTTGGCGAGGTGACGCGGCTGCCGTAACCCACTTTCTGTCCAATTCAGGAAGGATTATGTTATAATGTGAGGCGGCGCAGCCTCCGAAACCGTATCAGATCCCATCCCCGAAAAGAAGATTTCGTAAAGGCGGTACAAAACAAAGTTCCCGGGGTGTAGTAGTAATTAAATAACATTCAGATTATAAAACAAAGAACGAAAAATATCTGATGACAAAAAAGCCTCATGGGACGTCAGAGAAACCATGCTGGTACAAGATGGGCAAGTATTAAAATTATTAAATATTGTCATCCCTCTCTCGTGAGCTCTGGTAAAGAGTAAACTTCAGTCAATTTCTGGTAAACATAGTAGTTTTCGCAATATTTCGTCCATGACTATTATTTATAGTCGGTTCGCCAGCCAAATCCATATAAATATGTGAAAATATCATTATAATGGATAGCGAAAATGGTGGAATAGGGTCACGTCGTGCATGCAAATTTCTCATTTTCATTCAAATATAAATGTAACTAATAACTATGGTCTAAAGTAATAAAAGATTATTTAAATTGAGCGACTGCAGACGTTTCATCCATATTTATTAGCCTTTATGTCGTTCAAGTGAACAGGATGGAAGGAAATGGGAAAATGTAGAAAAAGGATTATTTTAGCTGATTGTTATAAAGGAATACACGATTCTACCTCTGCAGGCTCTATTTTAAAAGAAAGGAAATCTCATTCAATACGGGTAGCGGAGACAATCTATTTTGAAAAGGAGTGTGTGCATGTGTGGTTGTTGGTTAAAGTAGAATCAGGTTTGATGATATCGATATAGCAAGTTGACATTTTCTGTTTAATAGAAAGTGTTTGTGCCATAAGTAATTACGTAATTTTATTGTGCTCAGACCCGAAACATAACAGGCATATAACCTTCTTCTGCAAGGTTTAAAACACAAAATCGCTTTCCAGAACTAAACCAAGGCGGTCGCAAAAAAGAGGACACGAATGGTAAACCACTCTTTCATTAAAGTTGGGTTTTGAAACCAATCTAATCTTTGTGTTGATTTCAGTAATAGCATTTCGAATACAGGGTGAAAATTTTGTCTGGAACACTATCTGCTTCTTTTCTTTCACTTCTTCAATTACGTTTCAGTCAAATTATTTAAATTTTCTTGTTTTTCTCTTTTTGCTCTCATTTTCTAGAAACATATTTTTTTGTAAAATTAACTAAATTTCATTCCCGAAGCATATGGAACCTCCACAGTATTTGTTTCATCCGGCCAAAAAAAAAATAAAATAAACTAAATAAATAGTAAATAAATAAAAAGCATTAAAACACGATTTAAAAATTTAACAACGCTGGGTAAGTGAAGTGTGTCTCGTCCTATAACGTGGAATAACTCGATCATAGGAACAAAAACATTGTATAATACGGTACAAATACAACAAAGTTATATTGTATCAAAAGCATATTTAGATACTAGTAGGTGTTATAAATATCATGTAGGTCATCGTATGCATCATATAATATTGGATATAAGCTCCTTTTACCTTTTATAATCTTGAAAACTCACGTCTCTTGCCTTTAGCGTTTTTACTCCCTCGGGCATCGCAGACATAGATATCGTCGATTTGCTCTGAGATTTAATACACCAACTGGATATCATGAAATACATATCCCGTGTTCATCTTGTACTTCTTATTACTTTCAACCAGCTTGTACGTATGTCGATATTCAACACGCCATTTGAAAAATAAGCAAAAGATGCACTCGATGTGGTTTGTCGGCGTTAAATGGAATACAACCTTAAAATTCGAAAGGATGTCGGGAAAACACGAAATCCATTTAACTTCGTTAGAATCATCAATCTCTCAGTAGAACCATTTATTAGCAATGAATAAATGCATGTTTCTCGTGCAACTCGAAGTTGAGAAACCACGCATTTCCTCGGAGATTTAAAAACTACAGCACAATTTTCCTTTTGGGGATTTTCTTCCACCTACTACTCAGCACTACAAGTCTACGGTTGCCTTTATAGTTAGAAATTCAATGCAATTCCCTGAACGCCCGTATATCACTTCCCTTGTTAATATGTTACCTACTTCCAAATCCCTTTTAATCGTCAATCTTTCCAAAATATTGTTCCACTCCACAATCTCCTTAGAAAACAACTGGCAGTAATAATGGAAGGAGTGATATTTCTAGCGTGGAAAATGGAAAAAGTTTCAGCAAACGTAAGTAGTCAAAAAACGAGAAGTAATAAATTAAAAGTTAATATACTCTCCTCATAAAAAACCCTTTGAAGTTACATACTTTATTATCTAAAAGTCATTCTTCCGTCTAATATTTTAATAATGTCCCAATTAAAATTTAATTTGGTAACTTGCTTCATAGAACATGTAATTACTGACAAAGAAAAATGTAAAAATGTTATATCATTATGCAAACTTCCGCGTCCTTCCTCTAGAATACATAATTCTGTAAAAGGGTCTCTATTTTACTTTTTCCTTTCGGAGACCGTCGTCGTATAATGCAAAAACAAATTAGTTTGCGTCTAATTTCCAAAATGGCAAATTTGATTTTAATTAACTCACAGACAGAAAGGCACATTCACATACTGGAAATTTACACTTCGGTCTCACATTTAACTTACAAACAAAAGTGGAAAATATGTAAATATACAGTAAGAATTTATATGTTAGCCTTTTTTTGAGAATTGCGACCTATATGATGTAATTTTGTTTATGGGACTTGAGATTCAAGCTTCATTTGCATTGTATCAGCGCTAAATGGATTACTAAAGATCGAAATCTTGACTGTTCTAAATTTTATGTAGATTAGAAAACTAAGA